AGCGCTGTTTGTGATCTCAAAATCAGTATTGCCGTTCTGTTATTATTTTTTTAGTGTCAGGTATCTCGAGTTACCTTATTTTACGGTTTTCGTCCGTAACAGTCTTTTTTCCTTGAAAAAAAAACTTGATTCACTCAAAATGCTTTGAAATTTTGAGCTCTACGTTCTCTATGTGCTCTGTATACACTGTAGACGATTACCTGTCGAGTTAACTTCTAATTAGATTCTTCACGAGGCTAGTTTTCTTAGTATTTTGAATAAATACTGAGATCTGAACTGTTACATCAATAATATACTTGATCATCCTCTATTTATATGCAAACATGAAAATTAAAAAGGTACTAAATATAAACCCTTTCAATAAAGTAGTATTAGTTCAAACTTTCGTATCTTAACTGTGATTCCATTGTTCCTATCTTCCAAAACAAAGTATTTCATTAGAGATAAAAGTTGGATTGGAAGGTAAATTCTGTGGAAGAAATATATTGAAATTACTATATATAGAAGACTACTACTGATGATTGCTTTACATTCTTTGATGGAATCTACTTATGGCCACAATCTTGGCCAATTTTTTCCAGATTATTATAAGAACCTTTTAGGTTCAATGTTCCATATAGACACTTTAAAAACCTGGAAATATGAAATGAGAAAATCTTCTTGTATTTCCAAAAGGCACCGAGATATAACACGAAGAACCGAGGGAAAAAAATTCTACATACATATATCAGTGTTACCAGTGATTACCATCAATATATTAACAATGTTCTATATATTATATTATTTTGCAAAATTGCGCATAATTAGCTGTTACAGTATCAGGACTATAAACGTTACTCACATTTTCAGCCGCCTGGCTTGCGTTTTCGTCCTTATCGAAGAAAATCTGTAAAATATAGCTATTTCCTTTTTGCTAATGTCCATCATTGACGCGTGCTCAAACAAAACTGAATCAAGCAATCACAAAACTGTCAGAAGAGATTTTTTAGTACGAAATGTCATCTTTCTAACACCATCCAGCCGATCGGTCTTATACAACGCGAGTTACAGATAAATAACGCCATTTATTGGAAAAATTATATATTTCATTTTACTACACCTAATATGTAACTCAAATAGCTCCTACTTTCTACAATTAATTACTTGTTCTTATTAATACATGCACACCTATAAATTCCACAAATTATTTCCAGTAAATGCTCTACAAGTATTTCGTTAAACAATAAATTTCGTTCAACTACTTATGTTTAACACATTTTCGAACAAGATCCAAACATACAGATATAGGCACAGGCAGTGTTAACCCGCTTGTCGTGTCAGCAATTAATTTATGAAAAGAACATAAATACTAAATACTTGTAGGTAACAACAATAATTTAAATAGGTATGTGTGTAGTTGCTTTGAGAATAATTCAAACAAGATCGTACATTATTGTTAACAATAGTAGCACAACCTACGCCGTCGTGGCTCCACCCTCCGCTGCTTTGTGTGAAAACTCATAGACTTCTTTTGGGATATGTGTGTGCGTTGGTATGTACATATATATGTTTGTATCGATGTATGCTTGTATGTTTGTATTTATGTGTGTTTAAGCGCTTGTTTTGAAATAAAATTGTGTCTCCATAAAATTTTGTGGTAACCTAATCTGTTTATCATAACCATTTTACTCTGGAATGTGACTAGCGCGACTACAGAATACCCGAAACCCCAACTGGTGCACATGCGCAAACTACAGATATACATATACATTCATATAAGAAAATGCTTATATGCATGTATGTATATATGTGAAGCGCAGACGCATGCGTAGCCGATTACCAGCGGATTCGTCTTTGTGTCTTTTAGAGTATCTGTGCCCCCCCAACAAAGCGATCCAAATATGTCACAACTTCGATGGTGGTCACCTACAAAAAACAATAAATATATACATATGTATGTATGTATTTTAGAATATACATATTTATATGTAAATAACGTAAAGAGCCAGAGCGCGGCTCAATGCTGCAACGCGCCGAAAGCTGCGCGCTGACGAATGTATTTGCCCGGTGTTAAATATCACATAAACACTTGTGTATACACGTATTGAGTATGAAAGAATGAAACAACAACAATAATAATAATAACAAGTGACAACAATGTTGTGGCAACAAACACAGTGCTACGATAAACTGATATCAGATTTTATTAAAAATCCATAAAAAGCGAACAAAAGATGCATGCAATAGATGAAGATCAAATAGTGTACCGCGCCATAAAAAACAACAACAACAGGAAAGTAAGACAGTGCGGCATGCATATAAATATATATGTAATATATGGCACTGTCAGCTATGTCGCCTATGCTTTGCTATGTTATGCCACGCCCGCAGCGCCTCGTACCTTTAACGCACTTCATCACAGGTTATGTTGTTTATGCTTCCGTGCATTGTCTATTAATGTGACCATTTTACACATCAGACATTGCGATCTCTTGCCTCGTACTTACCTCCAACTCGCCGATACCGATTACGCGTGCGCACGCGCAAATTACCACGGATTCTGCCGAATGAAGCGCAAATTGTGAGCGCGTAGTAAATTATGAAAGGGTCGTCGGCATGGTGTCCAACTAACCAGCGCGCGAACTATGCAGACGTCGTCTGCCTGCTTCGATTCACTTTGGCTCTGGATTGGGTTGGGTTTGGTTGAGTTGGCGAGTATTTTGCGAGAAATTTCAATTGCTTGCGACTTTATGTGCATTTAATTGTCTTTCGTTTCGCAGTGAGTGCAGTGAATGTGCGGGAAAATATGTGAGCAATGTCGTCATGACCACACTAATTCGCCGTAAATGTCAACAGCATTCCCACTCCATCAATGTTGGGCCAAAAACATACATGTGTACATCGGTATGTCTGTGTGGATGCACATAGATCCGCACGATCATCAGCCACCAACCTGCTGCGGTAGCTGACATCACCATCGCCGGCACCATCACGACAGCCACTCCCGCTCAATGCTATTAAAATGTGTTGCTTCTTTGCTTGGCCAACCGCCCAGCCGGTGCATGGACTTAAGTTACGTTTCATCAGCGATTTTTTTTGTAATGTGTGTCTTCGCGCTGTTCAGTGGTTTCGATCGGTCGGTGATTTGGCAAAGAGTTTGTGCATACAGCCGACAACATACTAATGAGTCAGCCCACGATTTCTTGAGTGTAAAGAAAGCGTGCGTAAGAATAAGTGAGATTTAATGGCCTGCGCCACAATTAGTGTTTCTCCGGCAAGTAAAGAACCCAAAACAATAAGAATCGCATTGAAAAGGCTAAAGCATTAAAAAAAATAACACTAGCTACTAAGTGTTGGGGAACTTACATTTATGGTATATTCGTATACATACAAGTATATACCATCTCATCAAATTTGATGGACCAAAAAACAAATTTTTTCACGTATTTTAATATATATCTTTATTATCGCCCTCAAAATTGGCTCCATTTGAGTCAATACAATGATGCCAATGCCTAATGCAATTTTCCAGACACTTGTTATAAGTCTCAGCTGGGATGACCTTTAGTACCTTCAGCGAATTTTGGTTTGTCCGGTTTCAGCTTAGCCGGCTCGACGTTCCATGCCTAAAACATTAACTAAAATGTGTTGAGTCGATCCAGAAGAGATGTTGAGATCCTCTGCTCTTTCCCTGACGCACTGTTTAATAATTTTTTTCGATCTTATTGTTAATAACAGAGGTGGATGGACGACTTGCGTGAGTCAAGTTTTCAATGACTCCACAGAAATATGTTCGAAGGTTTTGCTTTCGACTGTCGATGAACGAAGACAAATATGTTCTGTTGGTCGGAAATGGTACTCAGGCTCTCGTAGTGTGATAGTACATGTAGTTGTATCAAAAATACAGAACTCGAACGCTAATTGATTTGCAGTAGCATTAAGCAGATTCTTACGGAATGATGGACTTAGAGAACAACTTTTATACCGCTGGCAAGTTCTGTTAGACGTCGATTGTCGTTCTCCTATTAAGCTAATCACAGAAATTGTAGATATGTGTAAGCATATTGTAATTATTCGTTAAGCTTTATACCAGTATCGGTGAATCCAAAATACTCGACTCTACTACTCATGCCTGGTTACGAATTGGCCTAGGTAGCAGAGTCTTCCTCAAAATGGTATTCAAATAATTTTAAGAATTTTCACGCAATAGTGATAGCAAGACCGGCGAAATACCTAATTTAAATGTTTATAAACTGGAAAATATGCCAAAAAGTCTTACGTCACAGTTGCGAAGAAGAGGACCACTGTCTGAACTTATGTTTGCTCCAATATTGGTTCAGTTCAGCCAGTTTAAGTCTGTTCGAAGCAAACATGATCCATTTTAGTTGAAGATTAAATAAGTATGTCTCGAGATCGATGGAGAAGTCTTAATACATAAAATTTCACCTTCCGCGGTTTGACAGATCCTGGATAAAGATGACGGTGCTTCTACAGTTGATGCTGAGAAGTACTATGTTGTTTTAGACCAGCCTACAAACACTTCCTCTTTTCTTCTATATTTCTAAAAATTAACCAAGCATTTTATAACAAAAGAATTTCTTAAAAGCAATGTTGCAAATTTTGGAGTGTATTTTTGAGATAAAAAAGGTTCTCATGTACCTAAGTCCAACCTAAGTTCGAACTTGGCTTAAGATGTAAGAACTTCTAATATACTGGTGAACAACAAGACGAGCAAGATAAATAGGATGAAACATTGCACCATTTATATGCCCTCAACTGTAAGTAATCCCACAGTAGCGTCTGCTTGCCAAGAGGTGACCGCAGAGTGGAAACGCAGCGATCGACGTGGCGACGATAACGTACACACTAAAGTCCCCAACAGCGGTAACATATGTATATGGTGGCATATAGGTAGATATGTGTGCTGCGACCGCATCGTAAACAACAAACAATTTGTCCATTTACTCGCAGTTGATGGTGATCACATCAGTGTGGCAGCATTTTCACCGATCAGTCGCGATCGCCGCCGTCGCCGTCGTATTGCTTCATTTGCACCATACTAAACCGACACAGAAAACAACTAACCAACTGGGACGAGGAGGGGCCGCTTGTTTAGTCTATCGTTTACTTATTTGGACACAACCCCGTTTGGGGTGTTGAATGAAAGCATTGAAAGCATCGTAGAATTGCTTACTCCAATCGCCCAACGGCAGCTGTGTCTTAGCCAAAATTGGCACGTTGGTGTTATTCTGCATTTGCCCCTAGTTGGCTTGGTTGGGTTGGGTTGGGTTGGTTTGGTTTGGTTTGCGATGCGGAATTCGCTAAAATAGCCAGTGGTAGTACCGTATCGTGGCTGCTATACTCTACAACTGAAAATGGTAGTGAATTCAGTAAAAGCAAATAAAATTTATTGAAAAATTAAATGGCTTGATATGCAATAGACGCTTCGATCCCCTCTGAATTCGTGTTAAGGTATCCAAATGCAATATTTATCGCTTTCGTGTGGTTCGCGTACAGCGTTCGGATCATCAGAAGAATCTCTGTTAAAAGCATTAAAGTTAGACAACTGTTGAAGAATATAAATTAGCTTGGTACTTACATCTCCTCCGAGATGTCACTGTCGTCGCCATATTCTACAGGATTTTTACAAATGCAGCAGGTTTTGTTGGACTCATCAAAGCAGCTTTGGCAGTAGACTGCTTTACAGCCGGGTGTTGAACATTCCACTTTGTCACTAGAATTTTAAATATAATTTATATTTAAATTGTTGAAAACATATTATTTCTACAAAGCATTATTATTAGTATTAGGTGTTTTTGCCTTGGTTTTTGAATGACAATTTTTCCGAAAATCGGTATAAAGTTCGAATAAGTATAATTGTGACAAAAGGGATCAAATCCCTTTGTGGTTTAAAAAGTTTTCTGATCGGTAATGATTAGCAACGTGAATGGCTTCCTAAATAGTCAATTCGGTCGAATCTTATCTAGCCGAACGATAAGCTCAACATCTTCTATCTAAGATCATAGTCTAGTTATAACCATCAGCTAACCGCTATTCAAGCTAACCGTGATAAACGGATGTACTTGTACTTTCTGGGTAAACCGAAAAATCGTAATCGCTTAAGACCTTATTTTTCTCATCAATATCTAGTCTCTTCGGCAGTTACCCGTTCAGTAATAATTCTACACGAAAAAGAGGAAAATAAGGTAGTGAGAAATGTTCTGATAATATTCTTCGTTACTGCAGGCCCTGTTACCCAGCAGTATTATCTTTTTATACTTTCTTCAAGCCTAAAGAAATTGTAAAGTTTTATTAAGCATCCTATTGGCTCTCACTTGAGCCATAGCCATGTTTACGAAGACGCTTCTTATTCCTTTATAAAGATTAAATAGCTTTTATATGCTGAAACCTCTGTCTAATTACATAATTACTATATCTTCTCTTTATTTGCTGAGGACAGGGTTACTGTCAAAGTCGTAAAATATCTGTAGCTTCGTTCGCTGCGCTTCGGGCATCATCGTACAGAGCGGTGAAATGCTTTGTCTATATTATAACTATGTTCTGGATGCCAGCCATTAAGCTGCATTTTTTGTGCTTATGAACTCTTCGATAAACATTGACCCTTCTCGAGTTAAAAACTGATGGTCACCAAAGTTATTCGAAAGTTTTCGATCAAAAGATTCTACTGCTGAGGTCCAAGTATTCGCAAATCAATTTACGATCAGTGTCATTGTACAATTTCGAAAAATAACTCCATCTCGGAGAGTAATCAAAACTATACCCACTTTTTTAAAGGAAATCCACACAGGATGCAAGTATTGCTCTTCTGATGGCCAAATATAAGACGAAAAATAAAGTAACTATAAAAAAATATAAATTTTTTCGAATATACTTTTCCACATAAATACAACTATGTTACCCCGACGTCTTGGCTCTAATCCAATCTAGAAACGTATACGGATCAGATCTGGGCTCATTTTTGAACTTTGCACGTGCTTTACGGCGTAGCAGTTTGAAAAATGTCACTGTGAGTGCTCTAAAGAATTAATTATTTATCTTTTTATACTGTTATTCTAACTCACTGCGCTTCATTAGTATCTGATTGTAAAGCCAAGCAGCGCGTTGACGTGCCTCAACCGGATAAAACAGACGCATAACCAAGTGTCGCAAACGCAGACCGTAAGGTTCAAGAAAGAGGAATATCCAAGCTAGTAAACAAATACCACCTATGTCGAAATAGCGTCTAAAATTCGGAACACTTGGTTTGGGTAGACACGGTGTGGTATCGATGTTGTACTTCTGGTTGACTGGTTCGAAAGCCTCGACGATGCCACGATATATTTGAGCCGCGAAGTCTTCGCCTTTCACGTCGACGACAATATACGGAGGAACTAGCGAGAGTGTATAAGAATATTAATGCAGAATTGAGCTCTACTTGGTTGACTCACTTTCCACATTTGGCTCCATGCCGCCATAAAATCTAATCATCGCTAGTATCCAGTAGAAACAGTAATCAGTAAAACATATGCAGAAGATTTGTATGGTGGATATAAATAGGAATAACATGGAGCGCAGCAGTCTAAAGATCTCACGACGCGTCAAACGACAACTTGAAATCTGAGTGATGTAATATTTAGAAGCTAAAGTAACAGTAACTCAATTACTGACCCAAATATATTTGTGTTTTTCGGTTTTCTTCAGCGGCAACACGCGTTCCTGCTCCGTCAACTTGCGCTGCTCGTCGATCTCTATAAAATCTTTGGTCAAATAATGGTTGTCATAGCCAGGTTGGTGCAGATATTTCATTTTAAAGTACAATGCTCTGTAAAAAAAAGTTAAAAAGCTCTAGAGGCAACGAAAACGTGTTCATATATTTTTTTAAGTTCCCACTTGATTATCACCATGACGCATAGGATTCCGCCAATTATATCCAGAAAACCGAAAATGAGAAAAAAATTGGCCATACGCCAGTGTATCTCTGCCATTATATCTTTGCCGACATCACTGAGATTTCTCGAGGCCACCGTTGTGAAGCTGAAGTCATGATCAAAGGTCACAGTTACATCAAACATGTTTTTTATCTCATCGGTGAATTCGCGCAACTCTGGAATCGGCATCGGAAGTTATTTTGTAAGAAATCTCTATGTTGTCTTGTTTCTAGCACTTACTATCCATGATGGTGGCCAACACAGTATCGTCAAAGAAGACTACCATAACACAGATCACATCGACCACTTTAACGGTGTAACAAAGCGTGGTGAATATGTGTGTAGCATGACAAAGACCCTGGAACAATCCCAGTTTTTCTCTATGGAAGTGCGAGAAAAGGAGTAAAAGGAGTATCACGATAGACTTAAAAATCGAAGATGTAAATAGGAGAGAAAATAAGTTGTATTTTTTCTGCTGCTGGTCGTGATGCTGCCAATATCCGATCAGATGTCTTTAGAATTGTCTATCCTCAGATCGTCTGACAAGGTATTTTAGGAAAGATTGAGTACCCGTGTTTGTAAAAAGATGATTCTACTGAATATGTTACATTTTATAAGTCAAGAGCGTAAAAAACTTTCGGATATAGCTTTTTACCGATACTATGAGCCAAAGACATTGGAGATTTAAGTCAAAAAATGTGAGCAAAATCTCGAGGGATCGATATTCTCCAGCTAATCGAATCTCGTTGATAAACGAGGCTTACACATTCTGTGAATTTTTGTTCAAACGTCTCTGCTCTGATTATTGCTTCTGAATGAAGCGAGCTTTCTTCATACGATTTCTGCATATATTTAGATTTCAGAGTCTTCAAAAGATTGTTGAGTTAGCACGAACGAAGACATTTGTTGTCACGTATATAACCTATATAACCGCAAAGAACATGGACAAAAAATTGTTGTCAGCAATGTCATTTAAAATTATTTAAAGAAATAGTTCGTCCCCTAAAATGTCGCTCGCGAGGCATTCCTCGAAAAAAAAAGTATTTGATGGATCAGGAGACTTGTATCATATGGTTTAAAATCACTTCTTGGCTAGGGATCAAGTATCGTTTCAAGTAATTAAAAAGCTTTAAACATTCTATCGCCTTAAACATGTGGAATTACCGACAATCCGCCATCGCATCATCCGCAATTTTCATGCACCGATCAAAGGGTGTACCGAACTCCTTGTTGCAAATTTTCACAATGCTATTTAGCCACTCAAACATCAGCTTAATGCTACTCACTGCACACAAAAGATATATTTCAATTGAAAACCTGATGCCACAATATCTCGAATCATACTCACAGACCACCAACACCAATTCTTTTATACGAACCAATAGTAATTCGACCTTTTTCATAACCTTCTTGACGTTGTCCATCGCTGTTTTGACCGCCTTCTTAATAGCGACCAATGGTTGCCGCATCACCTCCAACATCTCCTCGAGCGCATGCTTTAATTGTATTTGGCCACACGAGAGGCTGGTGGTCAGCGCGTCCACATTACGCAATATGTTCCTTGTCGGCCCCGTTGCGGCCAACACAAAGGCGAAAGCGATCAGCAGTGAACGTCCTTTCGAACTGCACATAATCGGTATGCACAAAGTGATGGTGCAACTGCGAGGATGAAGTTGTGATATACTGAAAGCTTCACTTTTTTCTAATAGTATTGGGACTTACCGCACACTGCGACTGTAGCAGAGTAAAAGAAACACCAAAACGGCGACATTCCACTTCAACCATTTGCCGGTCGGCGGCTGAAAGCTACCCGTTTCGTATGTTTGCCATGCCAGAGCCAGGCCCACACCGGTGAGATATCCACAAATGACCAGTGTCACGACGGTTTTGCTGAAAAATTTGCCATATTTATTGTCCTCAAGCTTTGGAGTTGTGGGTGGTGTTGGTTTTGTTGATTTCGTTGATTTGGTTGATCTTGTAGAGGGTGTTGAATTCATTGTTGTGGAATCTTCATCTTTTGTCGTAAGCGTTGCTGTTGATGTCGTTGTGGCTGGTAGCGCCGAAGTTGAAGTGTCGTCACGAGGCCTTTTAACCATTTTTAAACTTACAGTCGGTCTATTTAGCACAAATACAATCTAATCTATTTTTAAATATTTGAAGTTTCAATATTATTTTTAAGAAAATGTCACAATACATTAATATGTTTTTAATTCCGAATTGTCTCACATATTTTGAGTGATTTTCAACAAGGAGCGCACTAAAGTTTTTTTCAACTGAAAATGTTTAAAGTGTCAAGATATATTGATTCATCGATGTCTATTAGGATATATTGAGTTTATACTCTGCTATACTGAGGTATTGTTATGAAAAATGCTAAACGAGGCACTCTGAGAGATCTCCTGAATCGGACAATAATCACTTTGACACAGCGGTACTATTCAGTATTATCAAGGCTTACTATGTTGATTTATACTTTTAGGTTTCGATATCGGTAAATTTTTGGCAATCAGAAATGATGCGTTGGATGATTCTACTCGACGCCGTTTTTGCAAAGGATCCAGGTCGTTTGATACCTTATGCTCACAACATTAACTAAATTGGTTGCATCGCACCAAAAAATATGTTGAGATCCTCGGTTAACTTTCTGATGCCAACACAGTGATTTTCAAGCACTGTTTTTCGATTTCATTAGAAAACTTTTCGCATCAGACACAAACAGCAACGAATATAGAAATAGGTTGTACCAAACTAGGAATTTTTATTATCGATTGGGGTCAAATCGATTAGATGGTAGATCGAACAATAAATATATCCAACTGAACCTGAATCTGAATCTAAGCGAACAACATTTCTATTCGAGTACCAAGAATGGAGGTTACACCGCATAATCGAATATATTGGTGTCGGTTGGTTCTGTCCAACGTGCTAACTTTTCAATGACTATCTCAGGTAATAAGTGAGATAGCTTGCGTTCGCTAGTTACCCCTCTCCCTTGATAATCTCCTAAATACATAGGTTTAACTTTCGATTACTCCAGTTTAACGGTAGACAGAACTGTAACCTGTTAATGGATATCTTGAACTATATTGTATATATAACTGAAAATATTATATTATATAAATAAGCGCATTACTCTTCATCTAAATTAACTTGGCGCCAGAATGCCACTGTCCAAAACTTCGCCTAATATCCAAATAAAGGTCGAATAGTTATTTTCGCCTCTCTTCTGTTCTTCTTCTATGTATAAAATTCACCTCTCATATTATGTAACTATTTTTTATTTCCACAAGTTGTCAGTTCTTCCTGTACTTATTACTTTCATACAAATGTTTTTATTTTAAACACCTTTTAATTCTCCACTGATCAAATAAACAGACTTCAATGCAACTCCTACATTCAGCATCTACTCACTATATTGAGCGCGTCTTTTTCAGAAATATCCAAAGTCTTTAGTATTTACAACTCGACCAAATTATCAAACTTAACGCTATTTAAAAGCTTTAACTCGTAGACTAGAATCTTTCTTAATAATTTTATATGTACATACTTGTATATAGGCTAAACAAGATCTTCAAATCATTTTAAATATTTTATGTCCTAAGAATTTGTACTTTCTTTATCTCTTAGAATACTTAAAATTATGTATGTAGGAGATTAGATTTTTCACGTGACTTTTACTTCCATAAATGTTTGAGGTAAATAGACAAAATAATTCAATAATTTTCTCTCAGGCCTTTCAGTACTACTTTTTCCTCGTTTTTAAATTCATTCCTTTTTGTTTCTGTTGTGTGTGCCGTCAATTGATTTCTGTTTCTGTTTACGTTTCTGTGGTTGTTTAAAGCTGAATTCTGTTTCTCTTGAGTGTACTGAAGCTAAATTATATTTTTAGGTGAAGTTTGGTCACAGAATGTTAATAAATAGAGAAGGCGCAAATGTTAAAAAGTACTATATTGAGCTCTTCACAAGAGGGAACATCGAAAAATACAACTTCGACTCATTTGAAATACACCACGCAATGATCGAAACGGAGAAAAGACTATAAATAGACACAAAGAATGTTCTTAAATGAATTATGCGCATGCTGATTTACATTTGCATATTACAAAAAAATCACATTTTTGTAATTTAAAATAATCCTTCAAGTTATAAAATAGGATTATTGGTTAAAGTCCCAGAATTTATAATTAAATATTTATGCAATTAAAAGAAAAATTCTTCAACAAATTTGTGTGCGTTTCATAAAAAATATCTAATAGACGAAGGTTAATAATAAAAGAGTGGCTAAGCGGCCGCGATTTCACTTTTGCGGTGGCTCAGTTCGTAGGCGTGAAGGAGTTAAGCCATTCCGAATACAAACGCTAACGTTCGAATCCTGTAAATCATAAATCTAAATTTTATTTATCTCTTATTATATTATTTGACATTTGAAATAATTAGAACATTTGCCGTTCCCTTATAAGGTGGTGAAAATTTGCTTTGTTCCTTTTTATAGTAGTGTAGTTGTTGCTGTTGTAGCGGCAGAATTCTGCCGAATTGATAGTCCCCGACCGCATAAAAATCGGGATCTGTTCCTGTTACGTAGACCCGACTATCGTGGGAACGGAGTAGTGTAGCTTTTTGAGCTCGTTTATAAAGTGGGGGAAGGTTCCTTTTTGACGTGGTGTAATTTAAATTTCGAATTTGCGCATTTTCGATGTTCCCTTTTAATAATTTTCATTTAGCAGAGAATGTTAATAAATATTAATTTACGTTCTCTGGATATACGTTTTCTGATAGAGAAGGCAGAGACAGAGAACGTATATTATACATATATATATGATATACGTTCTCTGCAATTACTTGCTTAGTTCAGACACCTATCATTCACAATAGATGTTTAACTTTCGCCGCATTTACCAAATGTCATTCATGTGTGAAATTGCTGATTTGCTCGTGCTCGGTAGATGTCGCTGTATTTAGTATGTACAGCAGCATATGTTCAGAGAAATTAAATGAATAGAGAAGGAGCAAATGTTAGCATTTAATTTCTCTGATATTAACCAATAAAATTATTTTATTTTTGTTTTCTTTTTCCAATTATATTTTCCGCGTATTTTTTAATGCAATCATGTTTAATAGAAAAAATACTTCTTATGTATTTTTCAATATTTTTTTTTATTCAACTTAAACTATACAAAAGCTATTTACTATTTTATTTGATTTAATTTTAATTTACAGCCTCTGAAAATTGGCCGCACCATTCGGTTAATTACATTAAACCTTATAATATTTCGCAAAAATACTTGGGACTAAACAAGAATAATCAATTTACAAAATATTTACATATTATATATTAGAAACTGTACATATGTATGTACAATACACATACATATGTATGTATTGAGTAAAATTTTAAGTGAATTTATCAAATTATGTAAATTGAACATAAAAATCCGATCGAGTAAAATAAAATTTTTCTATAGTAATATTTAAAAAAAGCAGCAAAAGAATTTAATTCTTACGGTAAAACAATCGGTGCGTAAAAGGTACTTTTTTCAGTGCACGGTAGTTGCTGTGTTACATAATATACATACATATATACATATATAGACTCCTTCAATTGTAGTTTACAATGTAAATATAAAGGCGCTGACAGGTCTCATCAGTTTTAAGTTAACCTCCATTCAAAATTCGATTATATTGTTAACATAGTTGCAATCGAAGACAATTTACTGATTATAGCGATTTTACAACTTTTTAATAATAAAAAAAAAATGCATTCCTCTCCAGCAACCATTCGCTTGTGGTCTGAGAACAAGAAAAAGTGGGTGACTGACAGAAATTAATAAAATTGCGGGATTCATCGTCTTCAGTGCTCATAAGTACGAGTATACTCTTTACAGAATTTAGCTGGCGTAAAGGCCATATGGTATGAATGGTAGAAATTCCTGCCTGAAATTCCTGGTTTAATGAAGACGGAATCTAAGTTTAGTATTAGATCCATAAGCCTACTTTATCGCTCAGTTTTTAATCGTTCGTACAAAAAAACTTATTTCTGTATTTGAACAATTTTTAAGCACAAAATTCAGTTATCAGTTCTATCCTTTAGACTTTTGTGTAAATATGTATGTTTTTAAAACTAGATTTACATAATTTCGCTGCTCAAAACCGAAGGGATTAAATTCATTTAGTGAATTTCTCCAACGATCGCCACATGCCGATCCAACCACGCAATCGCTTAAAAGAGCCGCAAAGCCAACAGTCACTCATACATACATATGTACATGCAGACAAACATACATACATATGTACATTTATAAGTTGGTATACAACGCAATTGCTCTTCATAAATATATTTATTTATGCCCTAATCACACGTGCGCGCCAATTGTTTTGCGATTTTATTTGCAAACATTTTCCAATTGTATACATATGTACATATGTATGTATAATTCGATGTGGATGTGTATTAAATTTAATATTCTATCTGCTCAATTTCTATTGCACTTAACATTTTAAGTCAAGTTAAACGCGCTAAAAGCTGCAGTTCGCTTTCGATTTGTGTTTATCCACCTAACCGCCTATACACCTGTAATTAATGTAATATCATTTACAAAACAATTTATGTATTTATAAATAAACACTTGTAATTATGTGCTTATGTAAGTGTGTATGATAATAAATATAATAATAATAATAATATTTATTTTGTGCAAATATTTATATAGACTTTGAACACTGCCAGCGCTTGTGCAGTGTTTTTCACCTTTTGTTGATATTAATTTTGTCTATTTTATTTTATATTATTTTTTTCTTTCTTGTCTTTACATATTTCGTATAAATATTTACTTACACATATTACATGCATACATATTTGAGTTAATAATTTTAATAAAAGCAGCTCGATTTCTTTAAAGCCTCCTTTTTCCTCAGCTACGAAAATTTGCGCCAGACATTAGTGTTACATCTTTGAAAATAAATAATTATCATAATAAGACTAAATTGATAACCTTCTTGGCCGTATGTTTCTACTAATAACACTATACGGCAAAAACGATCATTTATCTGAGTATTGACAAAACAAATTTTTTTCGAGAGATTTTCGAAAGCCATAAGTCAAACAAAAACTCCGTTTTTCGAAGTCAGCCTAATATTATATTTTAAAATGCGTTGAGGGTGTGTTTTGTGCGTTTATTTAAAAATAGCAAAGCAAATTTGTTTCTTTCAAAAGCACAAGGTTAGTTTAGGTAAGGTCGTAGGGTTTATCGAATGTCTATGAATCTCACTTGGACAGCTATTTATTCTTTGTGTTAGCCAAAAACTCCTAACAGTGCATTACCTCATAGATCGACGAAGCGTTTTGAGCTTACCACAAATTTATTAAGGCAGTAAATATCAACTCCAGCCACTTCGCTATGTTCGCCAAAGTTGTGTTTACCAAAATATTTCAGTCTCAGTCAATATCTTGTCCTTACATCAATTTCAATCGACTGTAAGCAAGTCGGCTCTCCGATGTCCTCTTGCGTTCTAGCGCTGGACCTATTGACCTCTAGTGGATTTGGCAGACGCTGTTCTACCTAGGCACTGTCCACTAAGTACACACGCGGTGCGGCTAAATATTTTGACGAAAGCTCTTTGCCAAAGCTGTATGGAGGAAGGCGAGATGGAATCAGCTTGTCACTTTCTCCTCTATTGTCTGGCTATCGGAGTGAATGCACACTTCTCTGAAGTTGGCTGCACTTCGGAGCAGTATGAAAGACGCTACAGTGGTCTGGTAGCCTGAAACTAGAGTTGATGAACCTCCGACAAAAGACTCCACCTACTACCCACCCTTTTAACTTCGATCCATCCGTACAAAAGCTCACTGCACGTCTTCTTCAACGGCTTCACTCCACCCATAAATCCCTCGCAAGTGTGTGAGCAGAGAAGGGACCGCCAGGTGAACATTCCGAGATGCAGTGATCCAGATTGTAAAAAATGCAATCGAAGTAGTGGAGCATTTCAATTTATTCCTGCCCGGGGCTCCTTACAACATATAACAAAATCCAAAATATATTTGAATTTAAATCATATCTTCATTTTAATTCGGAAAAACATTGAAAAAAATCGAACTTGAAAAAAATTTAAAGAGAAAACTTTTATCAGGTGTTCGATCGAGCTGAAGGCGAGTCATTCCCAAAGGTAATGTGCCAGCGTCTTAACATCCTCCTTGAATGCTCTGTATCCACTTCACCAAGTTTCTGAAGGTGGAATCTTAAGGGTAGATGCCCTATGATAACCCCTACAATATTACTTAGCTCCCTTTTGCCTAGTAGTAGAACCTTTTTGGTCTTTTCGCCATCAACACTACCCGAAAGTACCTTTGTGGTATGCTCTGTATTGCTAGTGTACCAAAACCTGAGATGTTCCTCTAGGGTCTACTACTTGAAACAATCCTTGAAGAAGCTGAATGGTCTAAGGCAGCTTAGGGGAGTTGTGTTGCTGGCTGCCCCCGAGCGAACCAACTCGTCTGCCTTTTCGTTGCACACTGAGTGCCTTGTTATTGCCTCAGTGCATAACCTAACGCGGTGAGACTTAATATAGGTGATACGGATATCCTTAATTGCCGCTTGGCTAGCCACTAGAAAGTTTATGGACTTGCTGGCTAGAATAGAAGCCTATTTGGCACCTTTTGTTTAGCCAACAACGGTAGTCATTTAGTTTGCAGCTACCTTCTGCGTATGGTTGACTACAGAAGAAGCCCGCTCCTGTTCCTAATTCCTCAGCAGAGAAGAATGGACCAATGGTCCTGTGATCGACAGTTCCAACACCATAATCTACATATTCACCGACTCTTTGTGTGAGGAAATTCCTATTCTTGTTCATCCTGACGCTTCTAACTATAAAGAAACGACCTAGCCGAAATCATAATCAAGCCATTAGAGAATCCAAGTGAGAAAGCAACGACTAGCAGGGTTATTGTGAGCGCCAAGCCAAGTTTAATTTTTTGCTTAAAATTCCAAACGAATTTACGAATTTTAATTGTCAGAAAATCGAATTGAAATTTCAATCAATAAGCCCAAAGCAATCCAGATACCCCAACCCTAGTGCTCTACATTTTCCAAGGTTTCAATGAAAATTTTCCAAAAATTAAATAAAAAGTTTTTTTTTGTCTTGTTGTTGTAAATTTACAGTCGACTTTTTATTTTAATCCGTAATTTTAATAGTAGATTTATTTTGGGTTTCATTTTATTTTAAATTATTTCATTTTTTTTTTGTTTTTCATTTTTTCTTTCGTGAATTTTGCTTCTCCTGAATTCATTTTTACTTTCTTTTTTGAATAATTTAACTTAAGACTAATGGTTGTTGCATGTGTTTTTATGTTTTTTGCTTTAACTATGTTTATATGTAATTATATTAATAATAATAATAATAATAATAATTTGCATAAATTTAGCTTAATTGTAGATAATTAGAATAGTGTAATATAAATTAATTCATTATTAAAATTAACATAAATTAATTACAAAATACAAGTATAATTCAGCTAATAAGCATTAATTAATTTATATTTAATTAAATAAGAATTTTAAATTATTCGCGCGCTTAACTTTTTAACTACAAATTAATTATGCTATGTAATTATGTATTATGCAAAAGTTGCTACATGTTTTTCGGTGTATATGTATGTGTGTATATGCGTGTGGGTGTGTTCGTTATTGTTTTTTATTCAATTCATGTGTTTTTGTTGTTGTTGTTTTTAAATTTCTTTAAGGAGCTAATGCGTGAAAAGAAAGAAATTTTTAAATATTTTACGCGTTTTTGTTATTGTATGCAGTTTGGTACATTTGTGTGTGTGTGTGTGTATGTATGTATGCGTGTACAACACTAATTATATAATTACAAAGGTTTTAGCACTAACAAAGGACAACGCGAAAAAGATTAATAATAAAATTTTAATAATAATAATAATAAACACATTAACAAAAACGTAGTGTTGTTGAAAAATTATAATACAAACAAAAACAAGAACAAAACTGTGCATTTGTAATAAATTTCTTAAATGATTGATTGCATTTGTCTTTGCTTTACAATTTCACTACAAACTAAATTTAATTTCAGCGCCGCACATTTTGTTGTTGTACAATTTTTTTTCATTTCCATTTTTTGTTGTTATTCCCTACAGCCATGTGCTAAATTTTTGTTGCTTAGAATTCCATACAAACACATGTTTGCGTTAGTTTAGTGCAGCAATTGCAAACTGCTACATACATACAATTCACATTTTCGCAATTTCGTTACAAATCAAGTGTGTTTTTATATTTTCCAAACACAAAATTAAATTGTTCGGCATTCACTTGCAAACAAACACGAATTTTTTGCACTACTTTTATTACTTTTTGCATTTACATACATATTTGTATACGCTTTGTTGCTATTGTTTTTGCTTACGCTAAACTGCAATATACAAGTATGTATGTATGTATGTGTGTATGTATGACACTTTTGCTTTCGTGCACTTTATTTATTCACCACCTGCTGATTTGCTTCGAAAAGTTTTGACGCTTAGCAAGCAAGCTCGTTTCAAAAATTAATCAATTTTCTTTTTTGCCAAAACTTTTAGAAAATAGGCGTGTTGCTTTGTTAAAACAAAATTATAATTTTATATTTTTTGTTTTTGTAACTATACAATAGTGATTTTTGCTAGTTAAAACTAAGTGGTGGCGAAATAAATACAATTTTTCGTGCTAACGGTACTTAAATTTCAATATAACAAATTAATTACTTTAAATATTTTCAATTACAACGCAAATACATTTTTTTTAATGCTAAGCACTGTAGCTTTTAGAAAGCGGCAACCAAAGTGAGTATACAATATTTAGCTATTCGAAAAGAAAAAAATTAACAAAAAGTGATAACAAAAAAAAATATAATGCAAAAACAAGAGAAATAGCAAAGAAATGCATTTGTATAGACTACTTTATAGCTAATTTAGTATTTTATTATTTATTTTTTTTACTTGAAAAAATAGTTTTTCCAAAATATTTTTTATGCTTTCAGCGTTCGTACACATTGTATTTTAATTTATTTTAATTAAATTTTTTTAATTAATTTTGCTAGTGTTTTTTTTTGCGTTTAAATTATTTAAATGTTTTTAATTTTATGGAAAACAATTTCAAAAAAAAAAATTATTTTAAAACCAAAAAAATATTTTAGCAAAAAAAAATAATTTTAATTATAAATAAATTAATTTTAATTCAAAATAAATTAATTTTTATTAAAGAAAAATATATTTTAATGAAAACCGAAATTAATTTAAATTGAAGAAAAATTATTTAAATTAAAAAAAGAATTATTTAAATTTAAAAAAAAATTATTTAAATTAAAAAAAAAAATTATTTAAATTAAAAAAAGAATTATTTAAATTAACAAAAAAATATTTAAATTAAAAAAAAATTATTTAAATTAAAAAAAAAATTATTTAAATTAAAAAAAAATTATTATTTAAATTTAAAAAAACATTTTAATTGTATAGAAAAGTGCTAACCAAGTCTACATACTGTCTCTGTTTTATTATTGTATTTTTATTTTTGTTCGCTGCAAATTTGAGGTAAAAAACCGAGTTTAAGAATTTCTATTATGTTGCATGCAACAAGCTTGCGCTTTCACTTTACGCCTTTAACATTCAAAATTCCTCTTTACAGTTAGTTTAGTTGTTGCATGCTTATTGTTGTTGCTGCTGCTATTGTTGTTACCGCTTGTTTGCATTTCAATTTTTGTTGCTTTTTTCTGTGCAAAAACGTGCATAAACTTGTTTTTGTTTTGTTAAATTAGTTATTTGTTGGTTTTTGCATTTTGCTTTTTTTTGTCTACATTTAGTTTCAAGTCTTATGCGTTGCGTTATTAGGGCAAAAGTACTGTGTTAGAATAATAGCTAATGAAAAAACAACGCAATTGTGAAGAAAAAACGAAAACAAAATTAATAAAAAAAAAAATTAAATTTTTTCATACAACAAAAACATATTTTATCTGCACAAAACTTAAATTTGAACACGGCGGCGGCGGCGTAACGCTAAACTGCATGTACGCGCATGCGCATGCGTATATGTCGGTGCGGCTGGTGCGCACTCTACGCGCATTTTGCATGAAAACAATTTACATTTTTTACAGTTTACAGCTTACAGCTATGAACACACTACATTTGCAACGCTTAAAATTCCCGCTAATCGCATAAAAATAGTTTTAATTTAACTTTTTTCATTTACGTTTTATTTTTAGTTTTACTTTTACTTAGCTAATTATTTTTGTAATTTAGCTAATGTTATTATGCGCTGTGACGCACCAGTGCTGCCCCAGCAGCTTTAGGCGTCAGACGCTCTAAGCCTACACGCGCTTACGCATGCGCGTACACGCAGTTGTTGTTACAATTTGTTTGTGTTTGATGTTAATTGTGTGTGTGTGTGTATGTAATTATGTACTTTTTATGCTACATTTTTGCATATTGGCAAATTTACAGTGCAACACAAACGTCAGACTTGCGCATGCGCAGCATACTGTACGTTACATTGTGGTCTGCCAGGCTTAAAAAACTATGTTAATTTACAATTTTTTACAATGCAATGCATGTATGCGTACACAGTGTTGTTATTGTTGCTGCAAAATGCACGAGTTTCTTTCACACTAAAGCCGTTGCTTGTGCTACATCATGCTATGCTTGTTTGTGTGTGTTAATACATTTGTTTTTCTTGTTATTGTTGCATGTACAATATTAATTTGTTGTAAACATAGTTGTTGCACAATTAGCATAAAAAACTCATTAGCTAACTTGTAACTGTTTGCTGTGCATGTACATATGTACGTAGGCATATAAATAATTACATTGTGTATATATGTTGTCAAATTCTTTTACACGCCTGTAAGTATGCAACAAATTTCTGCTCTCACTTATGTATACATATGCATATGTATAGCATATATAATATATATATAGCATAATTTTAGTTATTATTTATTCTTACTATTACATACAGTATATGTGTGTATGTATGTATGTATGTATATGTACGCATTTAATAGTATTTTAGTATGTAACTTGTCGCTAGCTTTATATGTACATACATAGTGTCATACATATGTATGCAATTTTTACATAGTTAGGTTTTTTCTCTCATTTTTGCTATGTCACGCACATATGTATGCATGTATGTATACATATGCACGCTGCTTTCTGTTCTGCTCTGCTCCGTGTATAATTCATTTAATTGTGACTAACTACAAAATATTCACATTGGTTTACAATTAGAATTACATTAATTTAAATTATACTGTTACACGTTTATATGTATATAGGCTTATATACATACATATGTATATATATATATATACTTTTTTGCATGTGTTGTTCCAACACTTTTGCCACTACACACTATGGTATACCTGCTTGCAACTGCTTGTATGCCTATATGCATGTGTGTGTGTGTATGTATGTATGTTTATATATATGTGTGTGTGTCTAGCTGGCATGCATTTATATTTTAATCGTATAATTAGCATGTGTTCTAGTTGCTGTAAAGTTAGCATATGCATAAATATTGTAATATTTACTTTGCTGCTTCTTCTTCTTGTACAATTTTTAGCATTTCCAACACGCCACCACACATTTATACATTCTGCCACACCTACACATGGTCATACAATTTCTCGCGCCTCGCCTTTTGTTTGCCAAGTGTCAAATTCGTTTACGCATTTAATATCAACTATTGTTGTAGTAGTTGTTGTTGTTGTTGTTGCTGCTGTTCTCACACATTTACTAAAACATTTTCGGACCATTTCACTTAAACGCTAAATATTGTTTGCTAAATTTTTGCTATTACCGCACATCACTCCACTCCTTTGTTACGCTAATTTACAGTTACTTTAGTGCTTTTATATTACTAGGCTGCAATTAATTGTTAATTATATTATATTAAATTAATTTAATTTTTTGTTTTTGTTTTTGCTATTAGCTACACTTCACTTCTATATATAATATATATATATATATTAGTTTAATTATTAATTATTTATTAATTATTATGTGTAATTAATAATTATTTTATGTATTTGCTGATTTGAACTAAATTTGTTCTAAACATTTTTATATGTATGTATGTGTATATATATATTGTGTGTTTTTAATAATATTTTAAATGTTTTGCTGCGCGCTGTTGTTGTTGCTCCACATCAGTTTTAGTATTTGTTGTTGCTTTATTAGCTGCTCTGTGGAGCGACAGCTGCACATCTATTCTGCCTTGGAACACCTAGGTTTTTAGTTGCAATTCGGCACGCATTTGTATGCTGTGTGCTTTTGCGTGTTTTTGTAGAATTTTTGTTGCATTCTTTAGTAGATATATAATATCTGATTGACGACGACGTGGTGGTCGCTTCATTCAATTCGACGCCGTTTTCGTCGTTCGGCCTGTGGCAGCGGCGATGGCCGCGGTCAACATGTTGCCGCTGCTGCTGCTGCCGCTGGAGTGACTGCCGCCGCCGCCGCCGCCGCTGTTGAAGAACGTTGGTGAATTTGTTCGATGCGACGATTTTGGCGAGGTGCCCGTCGCCGTTGTCGTCGTCGCACCGTTATCGCTGTCGGGGTAGGTTAGTTTGTGCATGCGTTCGATGGAGTCGACCCATTCGAGCGAGTAACCATCAGGATCGTCCAAATAGTACGTTCGGTTGGGCTGAAAGAATGTTAAAATAGTTGAAGTTAGTTATGGTGTTTTGTTAGGAAATCTTAAATTTATGTATGTGTGTAATGCATTTTGCCGTAGTTGGAACAAGTGGTGGTGAAACGCTAAAATAAAACTAAAAAATCCTCAAAATGTATAATAATATATAATAATAATAAATAAATGGAAAACAAATAAAAAAATAAACGTAAAAATGTTTAAAATTTTAAAATACCTGAAACAATCAAAATTTCCCAAAAAATTAAAATAACTTAAAAATTTTTTTAAAAAGGAAATTAAAAACAAAATAATACCACAAGTAGTACCAAATTATAAAACAAAATACCAAAAGTAACAAAATATAATAATATAAAAAAAAACCTGTAAAAATATTTTGGGCATAAAAATAATTAAAAACAGATTTGAAAAGCAAATAATATTCAAAAATCTCCAAAAAATTAAAAATACCCTGAAATTTATTATTAAAAAAATTGATCGAAATTTTTATGATATTAAAAAGAATCTCAAGATGAAAAAAATGCAGAAAACTTTCTTTAAAATTATTTTGTATATACAAATTTAAAAAATATCCCATACAAATTTTAAATAAAAAAGTAAAATGTCTAAAACGATCTGGAAAAAATATCCCAAAAAATTAGAATATATTAACAGTTTACTATAAAAATTTAAAAAAAAGGTAACTAAATCTAAAAAGAATAATTAGTAAATTATTATAGAACTAAATTCACAAAGCAACGAAAAAATATCATTTAAAAATTTTTAAAAATAATTTTTGTGCGTAAAAATTCCAAAAAAATTTAAATTTCCGATAAATATTAATTTGAAAATTAAACTCAAAAATTATCAAAAAAAAAACGCTAAAAGAAAATATCAAAAAAAAAAACACCTTCAAAAAAATTGGATTAGATTTATTAAAAAAAATCTAAAAATAAAATTAAACATTTACGGATATCTCATTTCCGAACCCAGAACTCAGCAAAAAAAAAATAGAAAAAATATATAAATGTGTGTATTTTAAAATCTGTGAAAAAAAATCCATTTTCATACACGTGTCTTGCAATTTGCCCCCCAAAGCCTTCACACTTGTAACTTAGCACGCTTCATTACAAACAGAAATGTGTGTAAAAATTGCTAATAAAAATTTTGCCTTCGCGCCCCCTTGCGTCATTGTTTAGCCTCGCGCCCCGCGCGATCCGGCAAGTTGCCGCACGTGTCAACGCTAGAGTATAGATTTTACGAGCGGGCAATAAGTTAGCGCATGCAGCGCTCATAAAATTCAAAGTGTAATAACACAGCAACGCGCAAAACTCATTTCGGCATGCACATGCGATCGTAATATATCAACATACATACAATTATGTATGGGCGTGTATGTATGTACTTATTTATTAAATTAATATACACTTGCCATAGCAATAAATGCCGCTGCATACACATGTATGTATGTATGTACGTGTGTTGGTGGATAAACAAATAAATTTGTTTGGCTGAGATACATATAAACACACTTGCATATATACAAATATGTAACTGCCTAGGCGGCGGCGTTATATTATATATACACACCCCCCACCAACACCTGTGTGTGGGTTATTGTTACGCTAGTGTTCGCTTACACGCCCACTTTTAGCGCTATTTCGGCACAGCAACACACATATGCCAGCATTGACCACAATATGCACACACACACTTTTACATACATATCTACATTTATAGATATGTAACATTAATTCTAATTTGTGTAGCCACTATAAAAGAGCTGCAACGCGGTCGGTTGGTGTTGCTGCGAGGATCAGTTGAAATTTAATATGCTCAACGCCGCACACGCTAAAAGCAAATGCTACGCCGCAGCAGCGCACGCCAAGCAATCGAACCAACAAGAACGCCCACTTGCTGCGTACACGAGCAGACGGACGGACATACATAAAGGCAGCGGGCGCTTTCATGGCTCATCCGTCAGCTATGCTGTATACATGCATACATATCTACATATGTATTTATGTATGGCTATGTTGCCCATGAAAAATGCGTCATTGCCACCGTCAGCATGCGGCGTGCGGCGTGCGGCGCGCAGCAGCAATATTCGCGGAAATCTAAATATTGTTTTTATTTGTTTGTTTCGGATTTTCTTTTGGCAAATTTTCAAAATGTTTGCAAATTATGTATACGAAAATGAAATTGCTTGGAAATTCGCGCATGCCTTGTGCACACTGTATACATAACTATATTTATCGACAGCTATGCATGTGTGTGTGTGTGTTTGGCATAAACACTGCACTTGTTTATAGAATTTGAACGGTTCTATGTGTTTACTTGCTGCAAACGTGGCACATTCATTGTCATGTGTCGATATTCAAGAAAGCATTGTATAATTTACAAACAAATGACACACACACACACATATACAATGCATACATACAAATATTGTATAAAAAATATGGATTGCATAAAAGCTGAAAACAAAATAACTCTAAAATGCTGAAATTTAAATTTAGCACTTGATTTGGGCGTACACATAACGGTGGTGACATACATATGTACATATATTAAAGTGACAGTCACTTGCGTCGCAAACGTGACACTGACACGCGCATTAGCGCTAGCGGCAGCAGTATTACAAAAACGCGGCGTTTAACACGAAAACACCGTTCAATTAGCGGCGTCTAAGCGTAAGGTGATATATTTATTTATTATTTACAAATATACATACATACATTCGTTAATATATTTCGAACTCCAGTTATATTAAGTTGGCTAACTAGGAGCATGTGTTGTAGCTCAGCACATGATTATGCAATAACTACAATGCACTGTCGTGTAATATGAGTTGGTAAACAACAGCAATAACAACAAAAATATATATTAAAACACACAAAAAATTATTATTTTCATTATTGTTGTTGTTTAGTGCAACAATTTTGTTCAACAATTGCATATGAAATGCTCTTCTGTGTATTCAGTGAGCTGTCAGCAGTGTGTTTTTGAAGAGTAATTGCAATTGTTGTTGCTTTTGAAGACAAAGTTATTTATGCTTGAACTTCTAATAATCAATACAGGGTGGGTATGCGTATAAAAGTAACAAATATCGTCAATAAAGAGTTTAGTTTAGGCTGACAGTTTTAAAAAATTGCGATATGAGGTTTCACAAGCTTAAAAAAATGTCCATATGGGGGGCTTACGGTAGCTCATAATATCTCACGGTATCTCTTCACAAATAAAGAAATTTTCATACAATAACATGATTTTGCTGATTCAGTTTGTATGGCAGCTATATGCTATAGTGGTCCGATTTAAACAATTTGTTCGGAGAATGTACCGTTACTTTGAATAATAATGAGTGTCAAATTTCGTGAAGATATTTTGTCAAATAAAAAAATTTTTCACACAAGCACTTGATTTTGATTGAGCAATTTGTATGGCAGCTATATGCTATAATGGTTCGATATCGGCTGTGCTGTAAAATTTCACTAGTGCACGTACTTGTATATACAGACAAATGGGTCTTCGACGTTTCCTGTGCAGTGAATAAAAATACAACACTTTGAAATAAAAATCTTCTGCCAAATTTTGTTTGAACAAATATGCGACAGTTTTGTCTAAGAATCATGCATACGTCAGCTGTAAAACAGTTAAATGACACTCAAAGCATATCTGTTTCCTCAGTGACGTCAGAAGCCAGACTTAAAAATCTAGGAATACTTTATGCAAATGAGTGAGTGAGTGAGTGAGCGAGAATGTGAATATGAGTACTTGCAGCTAACAAAAAAAAAAAAAAAAATTATAAATCAAGCAAAAAATAATAATTGCTGTAAACCTTTGCCATCAAATGTGTGGAAATAAATTAGAGTGTCCGAAATAATCAAGTAATTAGAAATATATATTTACATATGTATGTCTGTAAAGAGAGGCGTGTAAGTGCTCACAAGCGGCCTATAAATGTCAGTAGTATTACGTATAACAGTACAAATGGAGGGTGCTCAGTCATACTATAGCTAAATGTCTATGCATGTGTATAGAGTTTAGTTTTTATAGCCCTACGCTTGACGACAGACAAGAACGCGCGCGAATGGCGCCAAATTGAGTTTCGCTTCCAAGTTCAATAAACCGCGTGCTGTTCCCTAACAGAAAACTAATACGTGTGCAAAACACTCACAAGCGCTTCCGTGTGACTTCAAGGCCGTTTTCTGACCTGAGTAGTTACTGTGACTGGCATATATCTAACATGTATACATGTATGTATGTATGTAAATATGTGAGTAGATTACAAGCGCTCATTGCTCTTTATGCGGTAATTTCTACAACATGTGCGCAAGTAATAAAGCATTTTTATTGCGAAAAAAAAGCAAAAAAACAATAACAAAAAAACGGTGGCTAAATAAAATTAGAATGTGAAAAGGTGTTTACACAAATTTCATATACTATATTTGGCATTTATTTATTTATTTTTTGTAATGCATTAGTACAACAGGTGTGTGCTCTCACATCCGTAGAAGTTGCTGGCGCATGATGTAATATAGCTAACCAAATCGCTTTGTTGCGAAGAATTTGCAAAATTTTGCAATTATGCAATGCTGTCGCTTTATTGTGCCACACAATTTTTGTGACTATTTCATAATAATTAGAGTGCCATGGCGCCAGTTGGCTGTGTGGTGTATAACACGCCTGCAACAACACCAGTGTACATGGTACAGAAGCAGACGATGCGGCAAGCAAAGTGGGGCACGTTGTGTATGTCTGTGGATGCACAAATAGTAACGCTAAATTTAGCGTATTAAATATGCGCCAAGTATGCAAGAGTATAAGCGCACATTTTTGCATAATTCAACGGTGGAGTCAGTAATCAACTGATTTTTTTTTTGTTTTATTTTAATATACAATAGTAGGGACAATATGGGGGGATATATAAATAAATAAACAATTAATTTGTGTATATGGCTTTCACAAGCCACAGTGCGCTCTACTCAGACCGCTAACAAAGCTTATCAATCAATTGTTTGAACTTTCACATTTCAGTAATAAAAACATCCGCCGCTGTTTGACGCCAGCTCACACTGATAAAGCCATAATAAATATCATTTAAATGTTTGAAATAATAACAAACTTGAAAAAGTGTACACACAACCACACTTGCTTCCATACTACGTTAGGCGCTGCAAGCTTTGCAATGCAATTATTATTTAACTTACCGTATGCACAAAGAATATTTTGAAGTTTTTCGGCTCGACGCGCAATTCGGCGCTCCATGGTATTTCGCCTTTCTTCACCATCTGCACGGGATCGATGTAGATGAGCCGTGGACCCGTTGTTAGCAGCAACATGCGTTTGCGCGCGAACAGACCTTTGCGTTTGTTGATGTAACCTTTCTTAAGTATGACTTCGTTATCGGCAAAAACGTGCCATTTATCAGACTTTTGTTGCTCCAAACGCTTTTGCTTTTCGCTCTCCGAAAGGTCGTAAATATCTGCAAATTCAAAAAGAGAAATCATTAATATTCTAAAAATTGCATATTATTTAAGCTGCTTTCACTCACTTTTTACTACAGTCTTTTTCTCAATATATGTGCCCAATTCCATGCCGAGCAAACGTGTCAGCTGCTTGTCATCCAAGCCGGGTTCTAGATTCTCTGGCATAAAATAATGCGAGCTAAAGCCGTCGTCCTTCGATACGCCCGGCAAGTACGGGTAGATTGGTGGTGGTGTTTGTTGACGTATTGTCGCAAAATCGATGCCATTAAAGAATGGATGCGCACGTATGCTTAGATAACAACCTTTGGTATCTTGCGAGCCCAAACGTTCCTCGGGTCGTATCTTCAATAGTTGTCTGACTAGATCTTCGGCATCTTTATCGAAGCCTTGCGGAAAGTCTAGATCGCCGGAGAGGATTTCTCTAAATATGACATAATCATTGCTGCCACGGAACGGCGGCAAACCGGAAATCATTTGATACACTATACAACCGAGTGCCCAGAGATCAGCAGCAGGTGAAACGAAACCATTGCGCAGCACTTCCGGCGACACGTATTGCGCTGTACCAACAAAACTACCTTTACGCCGGCGATAATAATACATGCCACCGCGTCCACCTTGCGTATTATCATCATCGCTACCCGTATCATTGGTATCCTCAGTATCGTCATCTTCATCGTCGTCGTCATCGCTGCGATTTTGTGAATTACGTCCGCTGCGGCGACACAACGAAAATGGAGCTGGTTTGACGGGGTTAATACATTCTTCGGGCTTGAAGATTTTCGCCGAACCAAAATCGGCGATCATCGTATGCATATCCTCATCCAAGAGTATATTCTCTGGCTTCAGGTCACGATGCACCACATTGTGATAGTGCATTTGCTCGCAAGCTAATACTAATTCGGCGACATAGTGGCGTGTGCAGTCTACATCGAAGGAGCCCACCTTGTTGATGTACGGCAGCAGGTCGCCGTTTTTGGCATAGGTCATCACAAAGTACAGCGAACGACGATCCTGGAACGTGCACGACAAATTCACAAAACCCGGCACATTGGTCATCATGTGTAGCGCTTCGCGTTCGCGACGCACATACTCTTGTTTGTCCTCGCGTATGATGTGACGTTTCTCGCAGACTTTAACTGTAAATGGAAGAGCAGAAAGAAAGGTGGCGTTTAGTGGTGAATTTGGTTTGAGGTGAAAAAATATTGCAGGTAGTATTTATTTTAAAAATTTTAATTTCATAATTTTTTTTGTTTTTAATTTTTATAAAATAATTATATAGTTTTTATTTTAATTTAATTTCTTTTGGTGCTGAATTTTTTTGAGGCGAAAAAGTTGAAGGTATTTATTAAAAATGTGCATTAATTATACCAATATTTTAATAAATTTTTTGCTTTCTAGTATTCTTAATTTAGCATTTCCCATACGATTACCACTACCGGTTTGTCGTTCAGTAATATACACCCACACAAACTTATGTATTTCATTGTTGCTCACACCCTCAACCAATTCTATGGCAACAATGCGTCGTACAACGGTTTTTATAGTAGACGACTGTGACAAATAATTAAATTATAAGCGTATATATCAATATATATTGGATAAAATATTTATGTGGCGAAAAAAAAACATTGCAAACGTGGGCTTGTTACGGCACTAGAAGAACCAGAACCAGTGTGTGGCAGACACGTGGGCGTACCGCTGATTGCATATTTAAGCCACAAATAATGACCAGTATTGTATATACATACATAGTACATAGAGATATGCAGTATTACATAACAGACATGTAAGAGTATATATATTTGTGCATATGTATATGTAAGTACATATGTACATATTTATAACCACACAAATGAGTTAGGCAAACTTTAAGATGTGAAAGTCAACAACAGCTGTTCCAGAGCAATGCGACAAATGTTTCTATATAAATATATACTTATGCATATATACCATATATACATATGTACATAACTGTGTGTATATATCCATGCATTTGGCTGCTGCTTTCTTTAGCATATTTTAATTTCACGCCTTTAGCACATAATTTGCTGCATATTATATGGCATAATATAGAATACAAGCATATGGAACTACTCAGTTGCCTACATACCAAAATATATAGATATCTATATAAATATGCAGGTTTATTGGCATAAGTATGTATAACGCCTGCATCACATTTCAAATTGCGAAAAACCCACACACACACACACACACTTCCACACAGCTAAATGCATATACAAACACAATCAGGTATTAACTGTAAATTTTCAAAACGTGCTGCTTGCAAAAAAGTGACTTTGAAATCAAAATCGAGCGCGGCAAAAGAAACTACATACACACATACAGACACACGCATGCGTCAATAAAATTCATGCAAATCTCACAGCGCTGACGGTACTGCCGCCGCTGCTGCTGGGGAGCATGGAGGTGTACGGTGAACAAGATACCGCACACACACACATGCATGCATACATAAGTATACATATTCCTTTAACGCTTCTCAAATGTGCATTTATAAGCTTTTTATTAGCGACAAATGATCGTTGAATGCTGACCAAATGGCCACATTTTTTGTTTTAAATTATTATTTATTTTTTGTTTCAAAATATTTTGTAACTTTCATTGAAGCGTTTGGCAACAAAGAATGTTTATGCTAATTTTTGCGCTCATAAGCGCACACAAATTGCAAAAACAAAAGGAATAACAAGCAATTTTAATACAATTAGCAATTAATCCACACGCGCAACATTCGCTGAGAAAAAAAGTAAAACTTGATTTGTCAAACAAATCTACATATGTATATTCTATATGTATATACATATGTAATATATCAACTGCCTGTCAACTGCACTCGCCCCCACTGCAAAGTTCTCAGCGCTTAAATTTTATTATTTAATTCACTGCAAGTATTTCGTGAATTGTGTGTAGCCCACCCGCCCCACAGTCCGTCCGTCCGTCCGTAGGTCGTTGGGTCGCCTGTCATGCGCTTTTGCTTTGCACGCACTCTGCTTGTGGCTGCAAAGTAAGATCTTAATCGCGCCGCTATCGGTCAGCTGTGCCACCCTAGAGAGGACCCCCAAAACACACACACACATGCATGAAGAACAAACACATATATATATATTCTTCTGTGCTGCTTCTTCCACTCGCCCTCCCATACGGTTAGCTATTGTTTCTTTAAGTGTGTGTCTGTCGTTTGCTCTTGCTGCTGGCTTCTTATCGCTTTGCCTATAAAATATTATTATATTTATTTATATATTTGCAGTTGTTTCCCACATTTCACTTGACAACGACACTCGACAAAGTTGCTCGCCGAGCCATTTTCATACAGTTCATTGCTGTTTTTGCACTGTCTCTTTTGTGCTGCTATTTCTGTTACTTAGTGGGGATTGTTTTTTAATTTAATTTTCTTGTTATTTTTTAATTCGTTTGGTTGTTTTTCAACTTTGCTATTTAATTGCTGAATTAGTTTTTGCAGTTTATATTTTTTTTGCACCTGCTGGCGCGAAAGAAAGTCAAAATGAGAGCTAATAAAATATATGTATTATTATAATATAAAAATAATTTATATACATAGAGTAACAATTTTAAAAATAAAAATATATACATACATATGTTTATCAAAATTATAAAAGTATATAAAAAATATATAAAACAAATATTTAAAAAAATGTTTGTTAAAAATATATATAAAAATAATATATTTAAAAAAATATTTAAAAATAATAATTAAATAACAATACTAATTAAAAAGTATTGTAATTAATAATTAAAAAATTATTAACAATTAAAAAATAATTAATAATTAAAAAATAATTAATAATTAAAAACAAAGAAATATAAATTCCAAAAAAAAAATTTGAAAAATAAACCAAATTAAGCGCGCCATTTTGTAGCTTTAGACAGTGAATGATACTTGTAATCAAATCAAATCAATGAATGTGGTGCTTAAAAAATTAATATAAACACAAAAAAATTATATTTCAATTTGTAGGCAATATTTGTACTAATGTATGTACATATGTATATTTATTTGAATATTTTTTAATTAATTTTTTGCCACTGTGTGCCCGCTGAAGTGTCACAATAAGCCACCACTTGGCGCAGATCTTCAGATTCGCTATCGCATTTAGTACAAAAAAATCCAACAAAAAACAAATAGTCACTGAATGAATTTTCTATACTCGACAATCGCGACGCCATCAAGGCGACAACAAAATAAATATAAAAGATATATTTATTTATTTCGGTGTTTATTTTTAAACACAACGATGTTAGTTTATTTTCGGTCGGTTTGTTGTGTCTAGGCCGAATAGTTTGGTCGCACCGCTGACCGATTGGTTGGTTGGCTGGCAAAAAATGTTGGGCACTGCACAAACAAAAGATCAGATAAACGCGAATAACGCCTGATTAGCTGTTAGCGGACCCGCTAAGACTTAAAAGCCATTTTTTTCTGCTCACAAATGGATGCATGTGTGTGTGAATTCGTTCACTTGAGAAAAATTATTGTACCGAAATTTTGTTTATGATCCAATTGGATTACAAAGTAAGGGGTGATTTGCTAAAATCCACAACAGGAAGGGATTAGTGTAGCTGCTGACATTTTTGACGTAAAAAAGTACATGAAGCTTGAGGAGTGAATTATTTTTATTTTTATACAAATTATTTATTTATTATTTTTTTGCGCCACTTATGTTAATTCATTGATTGATAGCTGCGGATTTTTTACTGAAAGTGCTAAGCAGATATATTTGGAATGATTCAAGACAATATTTTCGAGAAAAATACCGCTTTACTTGTATATTGCTTTCCGTTGATTTCAATACTTTGGAAAACAAATTTTCAAGTGTATTAAGTAAACAAGTCCTTGGTCAAAAATAGGACATAAGTGGATTTATAATGTTAGACGCTAAAAAACATATTTTGAGATGAAAACAAAATGATTTCAGAATTACAAAAAAAATTTTGAAGTAAAAAAAAAATATTCCAGAATTAAAAAAGTAATTTTGAAGCTGAAAAAACTATTTTTGAAAAAACAACATATTTTGAATAAAACAAAATTTTTTGAAAAAAAAAATTAAAAAAAAAAATATTTTTGAAAAAAAAATTAAAAAAAAAAATATTTTTGAAAAAAAATATATTTGATTTTAAAAAATTTGTAAACCAAAAATAAAATAAATAATATAAAATCAACAATATCAAACGTAACGAGCAACAAATATTTTATTTGAAATAAAAAATAATAAAAATTTTAATTTTCAATTCTCCTTTATAATGATTCGAACATGTCCACGAAAAAAATGTATTCAAAAACAGATGCAAGACTAAAAATTATATCAACATTTTTCATGAATTCGTCATTATCTTAAATGCCGTCCATAAAAAAATTATGTTAAAAAAAAATAATAAAAAGTAAAATATGCAACAAAGTTTAAATTGTTAATATTTCAGCGAAAAAAATGTTATAAGTTCTTTTTGCTGTTATTATTGTATTTCTTATACCATGCAGTATGTACATAGTGCATATGTATTTTCAATTATTTGTATATTGTATTTTAGCGCACATCTTTATGCTGATATTGATGTTGCTGTTGTTATTGCTCCACCGAGGAAACATGTCATCGCTTAAGAATGCGTTCAGCGGAAATGTCACTCAATTGTTGGGGAGCAGTAGCAAACGAACAACAACAATAAACGAAATATGTTGTAGAAGTGTCATTATTATAAAAAATAAAAAAAAATAGATCAGTATATAAATATGAAAGAATCGCATACTCAAATATTTGGAGTGCATAAAAATTTAATAAAAAAATTAAAACAAAAAAAATGTATATTATAAAAAAGTATTAATAAAAGTATGAAAGCAATTAAAACAAATAATTTATAATAATTTCATTTGTAATTTATTATTATTTTTTTTTTTGTTTTTGTTTCTTTTTGTTTTTTATAATTTTGTTTTATGTTAAATCTCTTTATTTCTTAATTATTTTTGCTTTAAACATTTTTTTTAAATGATCGACGATTTTCTATTTATTTTTTTGTAAATAATTTCATGTTTTTGCCGCCATACATTGTCTAGTCGCGTTTTGTTTTATTTGTCAATGCTTAAATTCCAATTAAACTCTGATAAAATGCTGCTCCTTAAGCTTTCACCTAAGCAAATTGGCATATTTAGACAAATTCTGATGTTTTATGCATTTTCGTTGCTTTGTTTTTGTAATTGAATGCGCCAGAGGTTGTTAACTTTTTCACAGCGTCTACAAAAACACGTGTAATGCGCGTCGGTAGTCTTCAAGAATACAACAACAGTTAGGAATATTTATGGTAAGTGTTTACGATCCGACTCTACCCTTGCCTGGCCATTATAATCAAGTGTCGGTCACAATATTTGTTTGAGCTGACTGACTGACTGACTGACTGCCTTCTGTGTGGTTTGTTGGTTGGCCCGCTTTTGGCCTTTTGTAGCCATCGATTTTCGCACTTTTTGCTATTTTATTTTCTTGTTTACTGGAGCGCTCTTGTCCAACACAATCGTTTTATTATTGACGCTATTCTTGTTGTTGTTGCGCTTATTTTTATATTTGTTTTGAGGTTGGTTTTTATTTTTGTTGATCTTGTTCCCTTTGAATTTCATTTAATTTTATTTTGTTGCTTAATTTTCGTTTTCTTTATTTTTTGTTATTGTTTGTGTTTTAAACGAAATTCATTTAGGAAATATTTTTTTACGCTACTTTGATGTTTTCAGAAAAAGCAGCGGCTCTTTACTGCCTAATAATTCCATCGAACGACGACACCGCCGACCGCCTCCTCGCAAAACGACTTCAGCGCAGCTCCCAATCGTGGCTACAAACATCAAAACATAGCACAACAACAAAGCTCTCTACGCACCGTTTCCATAAACGCGTTGCGCAAGAGGAGTGAGGTTAGGTATGGGTGTATGTATATAAATTTCGGGTCCGGCGACCGGCTAGCTGACAGCTTTACGTGCGCTGTGCGCAAATGTTCCTACAAAGCACACACAAGCGCAACGATCACTTGCAAAAGCGAGCGCATAACAGTCAACAAGCAGTCCTAAGCTGCCGCTGCTGTTGCGCCGCCGTCATGCGGTTAATGAACGACCAACCAGATTATACGGCATGTAACCTTGAACTCCTATGTTGACGCTTTGCTGTTTAAAGAACACAAAAACAAAAACAAGTACAACCACATTGCAAACATAGCAACAACAACAAGAAAAACCGATGACAGCAGGCAGCGGCGTCAGCATACCAATTAGAGAAGGTGTGTATGGATAGAAAATTGTTGTTATTGTTGCTGCTGCTGCTTATGGGTAAGCAAAATGAAACAGCGTCGCTTAGCATGTTGTTATTTTATAGTAAAGCGAACTTTTTACTGTTGTTTTTAATTGCAGGCAACTGTTTGCTGCTGTACATGTACATATGTGTGTGTGTGTGTGTGTAATGCAAAGATTCGCAAGTCGCTGCAATTTTCGTTTATGACAAGGTGGCAGCGCGGTAATCCAACGCCGCCACCCAACGGCAGCAGCAACAACAACTTTTGCGTGCATAGCCACAAAAATATTGACGACAACAACAACAAAAGTTGCAAACAAAAATAACACTCAGCAAATATTTGCGGCGCACGACGGCTGTTCAAACACGCGAAAATAACAACAGCAACAACAATAAATATTATTGAAAAAGTTTCAAATGCGCAGAGGCGAGCAACCGAGCAGAGCAATGCCTCGAAAAGCTACCGTCATGCAATTGTTTATAAGGTTGAACACGGCAATATTGCATTGCATGCAATATTGTACATAAACATATGTATGTGTGTATTGTACATATGTATGCGTGTGCATGCGCGTATTTTTGCACCAGTCAAATAAACAAATGCTGGCGGTTGCTCACTTGCTTTATTGCCGTTTAATTTTCGATATTGACATTTGTTATTGCTTTAAGCACCAACAACAACAGCAACAGCGAGCAAATAAGCCGAAAATTATTAAAGAAAAAAATTGTTAACGAGGTCATTTGCACTTTACGCAATTGAGAGAAAGAAGTTCAGTCACAAAAATACTAAACGGAATATGCAACGTCAGCGCGCAAAGACGGAATGCAACACTGCAAGTGCAAAACACGCATACAAGTACATAGATCTACATACATACGTATTTAACTCGCGTCAAGAGCTTTGTAATTATTCTGCTCTAATTGTTGAAAAACAGCAGGTATTTTTATTTATTTTAATTTTTTTTAAATATTTAAATTAATTAATTAAAAAAAATAAAAATTTTGTTGAAGTTTATTTTATTTTGTTTTAATTTTTTTTAAATATTTAAATTAATTAATTAAAAAAAATAAAAATTTTGTTGAAGTTTATTTTATTTTGTTTTAATTTTTTTTAAATATTTAAATTAA